AGAACTTATGCTGTGTAATTTGGTTATATACGACTATTTTGTCTATCTCTTTTATCACGCAACTAATAAAAACAAAGATAAGCACATGATTGTATACAACCGGAGCTTTCGTTTGTGGTAAGTTGGAGATGGTAGTGGGGTGGTACTGTGTGGGTTTGAATGTGGCATGGATAAGAAAAATAATTAAACCTCTAACCTCTCTATCGCAAACGTTCCTATCCAAAAATGGCAGCCTCCAATAGTACCATACACCAAGAGCTCCGGCCAAAAGCCAAAAGAGCATTTACATATGCATATCTTTTCAGAGCATTAATATGCTTCTTGGAATCCTATGTGAAACCACAAACCTACTACTCCGAGCCAATCAAAATCGACCACCTGTCTAACACAAATCATCAATATGTTTCTTTGGACATGAAAAGCCCACCATCCCATCATCATTGCTTCCAGAGAAAAGTTAAAAAGGGGTTACCAAAAAGACACAAATACATGCACTACAAATAACTTAATGATATTTCTATGCTTTTCCAAATTCATGTATGGTTGACTTGCACAAGGGATATAAATCGCGAGAAAATTAATACAATAGGTGTATGTCCAAACAAAAACAATACCCAACGAATTTGTAGCTCAAGTGATTGAAAGCATTTATCCATATACCGAGCTTTCTGGTTCGATTTCCCTCCCCTTCTCCTACCCCTAATATTGCTTTGTATTAAATATAAAAAACTACTTTAAGCAAGAAAAGACTTAAAAATTATACCATAGGGCCTCTCCAAACAAGTGAGGCATCCTTGGCCACAAGAAGTCCCATTGACATACACTTGACTCCATAGCTCTCAATTGGAACCATGTTATTTATCTTGTAGAAGAAAGCCATTATGTTAATATATTCTCTAGTAGAACACGTAATATATGTTGTTTACCAAAATATATTTCGAATAAGTAAAAAGAAAGAAAAGAAGTTTGTCAAAACCGATAGAACAAACCAAAAACTTGTGTACATGGTAAGCTAACTAAACCTTAATTACTCTAAATTAAGCCTTAATTTATAAAAGAAACAAATTAACAACCACTGATAATAAGAAAAATCAATGAGCTTGACAGAACAATGTATACGATGAGGAGCTCGAGTCTGATCAACCTGCCAAGAGCTGTGAATCAGGAATATGATTCAAGAGTTCATTATGATTACTAATTTTCCAACCACAAATAATGTATATGTAGAGGAAGACTTGCTGAATGGTTATGATTTATTCAAAACTCACCTGTGCCATGCAATATATGGGAGGAGAAATCCATGAGAAGAGTGAAAAATAAAAACACCAAAAGCAACACAAGTCAAGGGTTTTTGAACTTGAATATTACCAAGGTTTTCCAGTGTTCTATGTGAGTTTCTCAGAGAGAAATTTACAGAGCCAGTTTGACATGCTGGCCGCATCCAGAGCTTGTAAAATAAAAGAAAGAAACTTCTTCTATATGTACTTGTGAATATGGAGGTGGACAGAATGCCAAATTGCCTCTGTAACAAGGCCCCTGAGAAACCCTAGAGAGAGAGAGAGAGAGAGAGAGAGAGAGAGAGTTTGAAGAGGAAATAGGTATAAGAGGGTGATCAGTTGTGGAATTTACATAATGACTCTTTTTGTATATATATATTTTGGTCAGGACTTTTTTTGAAATGAGATTGGCTTTTTCTAGAAAGGGGGTGCATGAGCGTGCATGGTGTTGTATGACCTGTGTGGACACACACATAATGTAGGCGTTCCTTTTCTTTTCTTCTTCCTTGGATCTATTTTTCAATTGGACTTGTATGCAACAAGTGCTTGCTTTATGATCTCTCTGGTGTTTATGGTTGTACCTTTATGACAAGACTACCCTTTCATTTTTACCCTTCATTTTACTGTACAGGCTATGTTGTGGTGCAACCATGCAAAGCTTAAATATGTGTTTTCTGTTTAATCTTATACTGTGAAAAAGTAGTATCTGTATCTGTATGACTTTATTTTTACTATGGAGATCTCATGCGCTTGCTTCTCTTATGCTTTTTTTGACTTTTGCAGGAAAAAAAGGATGCAAAATGGGCTGTCCTTGTCTCCCACTTTGGTTCTAGTTACTTTGGTCAACCAACGCATGGGTTCAAACTTGTGTTTATTAAGAATCATGTTTATACAACTTTATAATTAAGTACTGGTAAAGTAGGGTTTGGTAGGAAATTTGGGATTGAGAGATGGCTGAAAACAGGGTCAAATAGTTTCATCAAGATCAGTAATAATACTTCTTTAAGGGCATGCATGTTTGTGGGACCTAGACAAGTTCAAATGTTCCATTTCGTTTTGGACCGTACTCACTAATTGAAAGTTAAAAACAAATTTTCCACATTCTGAGGTTTGATCATTAATGGATCATCATCAAAAGTTAGGGAAATACTAGCAGTCACTAGTTGAAGGGGAAAAAGTCACATGATAATATTGAACACTGTAATTTTGAGTGAACTTAGGTAACATTAGACCTCCTGGCAAACGAGTCATGTTTGTCGTGTTCGTGTCAATGTAGTTTAAAGGAAAAGTTCATTTACAAGCATGTAATAACCCTTGCTTTTCCTTGTTCCAACTATATTTAAGAATACGGATAAGGCAATGGGACTTGTATCCCAGGAACTGATTTGTGTAACTAAGAAATATCCTTCAAATCAAATGTTCTCAGATCCAGCTTCTTTCTTGTGAGTTATATACCTAACCTCAAAGATTATATTCATCTCTATTGGAAAGATTACAATCATAAACAACACCCAAATCTACGACACCATCAAGAAATCCGATACCAGCCACAGAATTTTAAAAAGTACAAGCACCGCCTAATGAAATTGAAACTAAAACCAAAAGGAACAAGTCTGGAGATAGAAGGTTTCTAAAACTGAACCTAATCTGAATTGATCATTATTGGTAAATGCATTTTCAATGACCACCTATTTTTTTTCTTTTCCCTATTCCACATACGGTCTTACAACAAATTTTACAGCTTGCTATACAATTGCAATACTATATCAAGAGAATATGGTTCCACCCTTTTATAATCAAGGGCTGTATATGCTATAGGAAAGCTGGTCTGTCTGACCTGTATGTGAAAACGACATAACAGGATTCTCAGTAATTGACGGTAACCAAGAACCTTATGCATCTTCAAGGTCAAAGAGAGACTCTAATGACAGCCTACTGATCTATGCCACTACCAACCAAGGAAGTGTCGTCTTCAACTATTTCGCCAACCGGGTTGTCCTTAGCCCATACAGCTGCATCTTGATATCCGAGCTCAAAGAGCCGGTCAAGAACATCATCTTCTCCTGGCTCAAGTGCCCAATTGAAAAGCTGAAATAGAAGGAAACAAATAGTTCGTCATCTTATCCTCAAGGGAAAGGTTATCTTTCAAATGCGGAGGTACCAATTTACCTGTCGAGGGGTAGCCCTATCATCAGGATTACAGTCAGGACTGATCCCAATTCCTTGCAATCCTAATCGACTGGCAGGGAAAGCACAAACACGTACCTGCAAAGCAACATTATTAGGGGTGTACAAAAGTATCTCATCTGAGAATTTAGAATATTTAAGGAAGGCATAACCATACCACAAAAGTAACAATAGGAGGCCGCCATATATTGATAACAAAGTAAATGAGGCTAGATCATCATGGTTTTTTTTTTCTTTTGTGTTGGGGAGGGTAAGTGGAAACAAAAGATACATGATGATAATATTTGAGATATTCTTACTTCTACATTAGTAGAGTCAATTCAAGAATAAAAAATGGCAAAGAAACGGGAATTGGAGGGCATAATAGACAACATGACCTCATAAATGTGGGAAAGGTTTCACAGGAATATGTAGGAAAAGTTTGAAACCCCATTAAAATGCATGTTTACTTCACATAGTCATGAGAGTAACTGGGACCCGGATTAGCAGTACCCTCAAACAAGTTGCAACATATTTGGTAAAAAACCATTGGTAGGAAAAATACTAAAATAACTTAGGTTTTGAATCACATTCCTGTTATCTAGCTAA